AAATGCCCTTTAAATGGAAAGTATATTCCCACATGTTTTTCAAATTACAATCTTTGCCCCTACATTATTCTCTTTGGTAATTATTAAATCACATTAAATACAAGGGTGAATTACCAATTTAGTCCCTGAATTATCACCTCGGTGAAAATTAGGTCCATAAACTATTTTTTTTTCTTCAGAAAAATCAGTCATTGAATTATAAAATCTGCCAATTACATTCCTAATATATATTCGAAGCTACTATATTCAAGTTTCCGTCAATTTAAGTCACGTTATGTGCATGTGAACACATTGGATGTAGATTGATAGTTTTTCATAAAAAAAGTGTATGGAATTAACTTTGATGGGTAAATTGGTAGTTTTTCGTGTAAGTTAACTTTGGAGGGTGAATTAGATGTTAGATTCGCAACCTATATGAAATGTGAAGGACTTATAGTTGAGAAAATAACGGTTTTATACTATAAAATGTGTCAAATGACTTAAGTTAAGGAAAAATTGGATAAAATAGTTTTGAATATAATAGTATGGATGAAATTAGAAATTTTTAATGAATTTAGGGACTTATTTTACCGAAAAAATAATTCAGGAACCAAATTTTCACTGAAGTGATAGTTCAGGGACATCAATTTTATATAAAAGTTTACCAAACACTCATACATTGTTTTTTTTTTTGTTAGAGCACTTGTACAAAAAAAAAATCTACTAAACACCCAACAACTTTATTTTACAATTATTTATTTTCACAATATAGTAGAAGCTTGCTTTTTTTTTTTTTAAACAAAAGCACATCAATACTAAACTAGCTATTAAAATAACTTCTCCAAACCATATAAAATAAACTTATCCAAAAATACTGGTTGGCGAAAATAAACAAAATAAAAATGTCGTTGACGGAAATAAACAAAATAAAACTGTCTTTAACGAAAAATAGAAAAACATAAAAATATAATCCCACCAGAATCTAAACACTCAACGTCCACACAATGTCGCATTGACACGTGTCTTCATCTCAACCCAATCCATTCCAAATCAGAAAAAAAAAAAAAAAAACGCTAAATAGGCGAAAGGGTGAACTGCCCATTTAGTCCTTGACTTATCATTCAACTTTTGTCAATTTAAGTGACGTTGCTTGCAATGTGATACACATTGAAGAATAGTATGATAGTTTTTCATAAAGAAATAGTGTATGGAATTAACTTTGGAGGGTAAATTGGTAATTTTTCATAAGAAATAGTGTAAGTTAACTTTGAAGGGTAAATTAAACGTTAGGTTCGCAACCTATACGAAATGTTAGTAGCTTATAGGCGAGAAAATGACGGTATTACATTCTGAAATGTGTCAAGTGACTTAAGTTGACGAAAAAATTGGATAAAATAGCTTTGAATGAAATAGTAGGGATGACATGAGCAAATTTTAATGAATTTAGGGACTTCTTTTACCTAAAAAAATAATTGAGGGACCTAATTTTCATTAAGGTGATAGTTTGAGAACTAAATCGGCACTTCACCCCTTAGCGACAAGACCAAAAAAAGTGATTTCCAGCAAGTTACACATTTTTAATTTTTACACATCCTTATTAATTCCTATCATTCCTATTATTTGATTTTCTTCAACCTATTCGGACCGACTGCCAAAAAATAAGAAAATTTGTGAAAAAGTATAAAAGGGTAGGTGGATATCAGTATTGGAAAAGTCACTTCCGTCACTTTCCCCTTCCCAACCGTTTCTGCAAAAAAAACACTGTAAATTCGTCAGAAATCCGAAACAAATAGAAACGTTTCGAGGAGAGTAAGGTAAAAAGAACGGCGATTCGTGTGTGTGTATGCCGACCGTATTAGAGCTTTTCTACAGCCGGAGGTCTCGCTACAACCGAGCCGCAACCGATCCAGGGTTCGACTCTCTCCCTCCTCCTCCGACCGTTGACCGAAGCCACAACCACAATCAAAGTCGCCGCCACCACAATTCTGACGGCTGCGATCCCCTCCTCCGCCGAACCCCGCGCCATTTCCGGCATCGTTCCTCCCTCCCTGTAATTTCGTAATTTGCAATTCAATTCCAGAATTGATTGAATCGTGTGTTGGGGTTGAGGCTTAGCTTGCGTTTGGGTTTAGTTGCAGGAGCGGGCGCCGGTTGGGCTCGAGCAGGGCGGGACCCACCCGGGTTCTGGAAATGGGGTCGCCGGAAGCAGTGGCGGGTTGAGCGGGAACGAGAGGCTTCCCGGGTCTGTTTTGCTCGCCAGGGAAAGGCTGCTGGAGAGGCTGAGAGGGATGCCTCCTTCAGAAACCAGGTCAGTTTCTGCTGTTCTGCAGCTTAATGTTTCCAAATTGCTCATCTTTTGATGAAATTAGCTGGTTTTATTACTTAATTAGCGATTACACTAGCAGTTTCAATGGATTATACATGTACTCAGGAACTTGGAATTTGGATGCTGGCTTTACATTAGTGCCCGCAGTGGTTTGTGTGTTGAAACTTGTATCGGAGAGTTCAGAGTTCGGATTGGACTTCATAACTATCACCTTGCTGTAAAATTCTACCATAAGACAGATATTCTAAGATTTGTACATCAATTATATGAAAGTAAGAGACTTTCCATAAATTACCATCAATTACGAATTAGGTTTTGGTTTTGGTTTTGGTTGGAGCACACTAATTAGCAACTGTTAGTCATATGCACTGAGCGGTTTGAACTAATAATTGGTGTAACCATCAATGGGTTAATTACCCATGCAGGAATGATAGCAAAATCTTTGTTCGAATTGAAAAACTTGCGTCCCTAATATCGACTCTGTGGAAATTACCTAATTTACCTTGATTTTATTAGGCGGCATAGAGCATTGCATCTTTACGGTGGTGGGCTACTACATGGTGATGACTTGAGTCCTCTTGTAAGGGATTCGGACGCTGAAATCTTGACAGGTCAGCCAGCCAGTGCCTACTCTTCGACTAACTTGGGCTCCCAAATTGAAAGCCTACATCTCTTGCAAGAATCGAACAAGAAGCCTCCAGGTCTTAGTCAAGAGGTCTTTGATTGTTTGAACCTTGAGATTTTCAGTAGCACAGAAATGGGTGTTGAAGGGTTGGAGTTAGGAGCTTCTCAAGATTGTAGTATCTGTTTGGAGAGTTTTATGGATGGCAACAAGCTTATATGCTTACCTTGTGAGCATAGATTCCATGCTGCCTGCTTGAGTCCCTGGGCTCGTATTCGAGGGGACTGCCCGTACTGCCGGAAAGTGATAGTTGTAGATAGTCAAACTGCTAAAAGGAATACATAGTTTCCATTGAAGTGTTTTATCGCTTTGCAGTGTGTTGTAGAAAAGTTTTGAAACTCGACTGCCAAATTATGGCACGCTTTCGAATTGGGTGCAATGCGTCATCGTTTTGTTTGGTTTGTATGCTGGTGTATGATTATAATCTGTGCTATGTGACTTTACAGCATGTTTGAATACTTCTAAAGCCTTCATAACATATGTTGGGGGCTATGGAAATTGTTCAATATAAATGTTTTGTTTGCGTCGTACTCGTGAAATAAGCAAAAATATTTAAGTCTTTGAGGTTCGCGCAAGTGGTGACTGGGTGGACATTTTTTTGGTCTCTAGCTCACCATGTATGTGGCCGGTCCTTATGGTACCGTTTGGTACGTTGGACGGGACGGAACGGAGTGGGACGAGGCGTTTCATCCCACATTTGGTGCGCCTAAAACGGGTGGATCGCGTTGTTTCACAAGATGAATTTTGGGTGAATTTTCGTTCTGTCTCACCTCTCTGGAACGACTCGTTCCACATCCGTGGAATACAAAATTATAACCTCTCTGTCTCCTTCTTCCTCCTTGTTTTCATCCGAGGGCATCTTTGCTCCTTCTCTGTTCCGTCCTGTCCCGTCCCGTACCATTCCGTCTTGTCTGCATACCCGACGATACCTATTGGACGGGTGGTTTACTTTTTAAATAAGGATTACTTTCCAAGTTACACCAGCCCAAAAATCTACGCATTGTAAATAGTATCACCTATAATATCATCTCTCTGTATAAACATGTCATATATGTAAAATAACATCACTTTAAACGGTCTAAAAAACCACGGGATTGAACGGGGCACAATTGCTAGTAAAATTTTTAAAGCAGATGGTCGGATGAAATAATGCAATTTCAAGAGATGAACTCAGAAACCTGTTTGTAATATTGGATTTAACATAAATTTCAAGAGACGAACTCAGAAACCTGTTTATAATATTGGATTAACATAATCATTGTGAAGACAGTGTAAAACATATTTTGTTTTGTCAGTGATGGATGTTACAATAAATATGGTCCAGCCAATGATGATTCTTTTCCGGTCTTCTGTGGCAATTTAATATGAAAGAGTACTTGATTGTTTTACTGTAGTATAAGCTTCTAGAGGTTGCGATGAATGCTTACTTGAGGAACCAGGTTAGTCTTATATATCTTCCTTCTATGGAGGAAATCAACTGCATAACTTGTTCCGGAATTAAAACTAAGCAAAACAAAAATAAAAAGGATGTAAAACACTATATTACATGTGTAGCAAAGGCCGTAGAGTGAGAATATCACCTCCCTAAATAAATTCCTCAAATTTTCACTGGTAGTTGTAACAACTCTATTGAGTTTTTGAAGGTTGGAACAGTCAACAAAAAATCGATCCGAACTTTTCATCGTACAATGACACTGTTGAGAACGTGAATGTTTGAGTTTTTTTGTGTTTAAAATCGTAAATACCATTACTCTTTTGCACAAATCTTAAATACCATTACTCTTTTGAATTATCAATAGAGTTTTTTGTGTTTAAAATCGTAAATACCATTACTCTTTTGAATTATGAAACCATTCACTTACACTATTTTTAGCACATTAAGCCGTGATTTTACTAGAAAAATGGTTTTTTTTTTTTAAATTTTTTTTTAACAAACAATATTATCTATGCTAAGCCTCACAATAAGATAATAATAATGTAGTTTAAATTCGCTTTAATGAAGAGAAATACCAACTGAGATGAGAAAAAAGAAGAATAAATTGAAAGTAAGAGGTCAGTTACTGTATTACGTAAATGCAACTCAAGGCCAGTTATGTTATCATCACCTATACTTGCAGCCCAAGGAATTTCCCCTTTAAATGAGCCCTAAGCAAAGCCAACAAACCCCACCTATTCACTGCACAAATCTCTCCAAAACCAACTGATCCAAATCCTATTTCGTTTACCAGTACACCCACCCCAAAACCCTAACCATGGCTCCTCCAATTTGTCTTTTGGGCCCACCCGAGCTCCGCCTTACCCACCCCACCGCAACCCATGAAGAAAACCCTCCTCTGGGTAAATACCAGTCATCTTCCTCAACCCCAACCTTGAATCCATGCCTTGAATTCTTCTTTAAAGCCATCACCACATCCTCAGATCCTAAACGCCCACAGAACCCTGCCCCCAAATACGGTTACAAGTATGAGCGACAGAAGGATCTTACAGAATGTGAAGAAGAAGCATGGAATCAAGACCCTCTCATCACTCTGGGACTCATATTTTGCCTCAGAATGGTGTGGAGGCCCAACATAGAAGCCTTTTACAAGTCCTTCTTGTGGGTCCACAAAAACCACCCTTTAGCCCTAGCTCTAAATCTCAACGTTTTTGGGGATTTGGGTTGGTTCAAAGATTTGTTGGAGATTCTCTCTAGGGTTTTGCAGGACTCCATAGTAAAGAATAGGGAGGAGGAGAAGCGTATGAATGGTTGTTGGAACAGGAGTTATTGGTCCTTTTGCAATGAAAGCTATGAGGAGGAGGAAGAGAAGGAAGAGAAGGAGGAGATCAATACAATCACAGATGTTCAAATTGCCAGGGCTAAAGCGGCTGTTGATAGGTACCGAGATGACCCGGAGTATAGGTTCTTGCACGATCGTGTATCTGATGTGTTTGTTGAAATGTTGGCATCAGATTTAAGGTTTTTGAACTCTGATGAGATTGAAAAAATCAGCTATGCTTCCAAATTTTGCCCGTCAATTGATTCGTCTTACGACAGAACAACTCTAATATGTGAAAACATAGCGAAGAGAATGTTTCCACGGGACGTTTATGAAGAGTACATAGATCTTGAAGAAGCGCATTACGCTTACAGGGTTCGCGATCGGTTGAGGAAACAAGTACTTATCCCCCTGCGCAAGGCATTGTCAGTGGATTGCTCACTGGCTGCTAAACAGAACAGGAAGTCATTGTCATTGTTCAAAAACCGCAAGGCGCTGATTGCTTTAGAAGACTACAGGAATATCGCTGGTTGTCATGATGGTGGAGGCAACAACGAAAGCAAATTGAAATTCAAGAGTCGCATGAATATTGTGCAAAAGCTTGTTCCAAAGAAAGCAATTATCGATATGTGTTTTGGTGATGAGGTAAAGCTTCCTCACCACGTGCTGGTCTCATTGGAGAAGGAACAAGGTGGGGTTACTGAAACCGCAGAGGTTCAGTGGCAGAGATTGGTCAAAGAGTTGTCTAGCAAAGGGAAACTCAGAAATTGTGTTGCAGTGTGTGATGTCCCGGAGAGTATGAGAGGGGCGTTGAAGGAGAAGGTTTGAATTTCAATGGGGTTGTTGATTTCGGATCTTAGCGAAAAACCATGGAAAGGTTCTGTCTTCTTGATAGCGATTTTACCACTTGTAAAACAAAGGGTTAAACCATAGAAAATTCTTGCAAGAGAACAAGTGTTGTAGTATAGAATGGCTCAAGCAAGGTCGATCTCCTCAGGGACTGGTATAAACAATTTATGAGTTTTTGTGTATTTAACTTAGTTAACTCTAAGAACTACACTAATTCAACAAAACTAAATAATATTGGATGTGACTTAAACAAATATCTAAAATGGGAATTGGCTTATAGGAACAGTGATTCAACTAAACAAAACAAGTAAACGAGGAAATTCAAGATAAAATAAATGATTGAAGAAAAATAGATTGACAATATGCTAGAGTTTAACCTTTACCAACAACATGAGGATAATTTTGTGAAAACATGTTCATTTAAGCAACATCTATAGCATGCAATTAACAATTAAAAGGCGGAATCATGCTTGTATGCACTTAAAACAAAACATTAACCATGAAATTCAAAGCCTAGTAGATTGGTGAACCAAGACTCAACTCAAAACAAAGTGAGTTGAGATTTATACCTTTGTAGATTCCTCTTTGCATAAGCAAAGGCTAATCACCCAAAGAGAGGGCCTTCATTCCTTGCTTCTTAGATCTATGGATTTGGATGGAAGAATATGTTTCTCCAAGTTCTCAAAATAGAGAACCTCTAAGTCTCCACACCAAGGTTAGATTTAAGTAGAAATGAGTGACCTAGAGGAAGTTGGATTGCTAGCTAATCTCCTCTAGGGTGGCCGGCCTCTTTAGAGAGAAAATGAGAGCTTTGTGTTCTCATCCTTTCCCAAAAAGAAACCCTAAATGAATTTTGGCTATAAAGTCATATTTATACCTTAATTCATTGGAGTGGCAAACTTGTAAATAAGTCAAAAACCCACTCCATCTCTAAATGGCCGGCCATAGGGATTCATTGGACTATTTGGGCATTTGTGAATCATTATTCATTAAGTTGTCATACAACTTAAGTCAATGGACTTGACGTTCGAAGCTCATTGGGCCTTAAGGTCCAAAACTATCCCGAGGTCTTTAACGAACTTATTCGTTTGATTAATTAACATATTAATTAATCCTTGCCATAAATAATTAAACCATTTAATTATTCTTACTCATCTCCGTTGTTTCTTCAATCTCTACCTTACACGGTGTACGATCCATTAGGTTCCTTTTTAGCGAGGCAGCGGGCGATTAAAACTATTTCAAATCGATTGTGAATTGAAACTTACTTTCAATTCTCCCTTTAGTGTTTATACATGTTTAGGGCTTCCACAAACCAAGAGTGACACCTAGCAGCATATCATGGTTACCCAAGCTAATCAGAAGAGGTGGAGAACCTATTCAGTTTAGGATTACAAATGCAATACGGTTTTTCTCTAATACAATACTCTTGACCACATTGTTTGGTTTGATAGTTTATTCATGTCTACTATCCAATGTGATTCGTGTGCTTATATGATTACCTTGAATGTGATTTGGAACGACTTCCTAAATCTCATTCATACTTTGGCCAAAGATTCTTAATCATATCATAGAGTATTCTCCCTCAAACGGTTTGAAGGTTAGAGATCCTTTGTTGTGCATTCACTTGCCTCCATGGCTAAGTGACTTAACCCCAACGATGTCGTGGACACCCTCGAATGGAGTGACTTTGACACAATCAAAGATCAAGGACTTAACCACAAGACAACTATGATGCCTCAAGTCAAATGACTACTTTGCATTATCCCAACCATAAGTTCTCATGTGACATGAGTATGAGAACTCCTCTTTGATCGTGTTCAGTGGACTCATTCGCTATTGAGCACCTACATGCTTGTCTTGATGTCACACACACCAATGACTCGAGACTAGTCACTCTCCCTGAGAGAAGACACAGCACGTACTGATCTTAACGGACTGTCAATGCCCAATTAGCAATCCTATGATCAGGAACGTTTAGGATATGTATACGAAAGAGAATGGTCTCATTAATCTAACTTGTTTAAATCATATTCTCCTAATTACATATTCCTTGGACTTATTGTTTAAGCATATAACATTTATATGAGACGGCTTAAACAATAATCTTTGCCCTTGATATTAAACTAGATTAGTTTAACATGTGAAATGTCCATAAAGTATCATCATATGATTGGTTTTAGGGCACATTTCCAACACAACACTCCTACATAGCTCTTCCAATTGCTTAAATAATTGAAAACACACATGCTTTGAAAGTTGGATTTTCCTTGTGTATGTTTTACTTGTGACATTCAAGCTAAAACGCATACCACTACATGCAACTTATCCATGACATTTGGATTAAATATAAACATGAGTGATTCATTAATCTTGGTGAAAATCCTTTTGTTAAACCATGTAATCCCTAAGAGCATGATATTTACCTTAGGAGAGTACAATCCTCAATCACAAGAAGCACAACCAATTTTAACGTGACATTCGTTCAAAATTGCATCCGATAACTTTTCTAAGCATCCTAATGGTGATCAAGCATCAAGGTACATAGATAGTTTAATTCAGTGATTGAAAATATCAAAGCAAGCATGTAACAACACTTAAGCAATTGAAAGAGAAATCTACGTATTCATGTTGCGGCTCATGGCCTCACTCTAGCAAAATAAATTAGTTACACATACTTGTATTAATACATAAGAAATTATCCATAAAACAAAATAACAAAGAAAGAAAACACCTGATTTAGCAAGACGAGCTCTCCGTTGCTCCTGACTTCTTTTCCTTTCTCCCGTGCTCCTGACTTCCTCTGCTCTTCCACTCTCTGCGCATTGCCCTCTGCTTCTTGTATTGCTCCCTCTGTACTCTTTACTGTCCGTGTCTCTCCCTCTTTATTTCCCATTTTTTTATTTTTTCTTTTCTTTCTTCCTTCTGTCAGTCCATCCTTTCTGTCGGTCTCCCCTTTCTTTTCTCTTTTCTATTCCTGCCTGTCCGTGCCTTTCTCCTCTCTGTCTTCTTTGCTTTTATTCTTTCTGTCTGTGCCATCATATTTGCCGTGCCCTACTCTCTTTTCTTCTTCTCTTTTTTCTTTCTTATTGCCCAACCTCTGTTTCCTTTTCTTTTTTTAATTTCTTTTCTTTCTATCTTTTTGTTCCACTTCCATGTGTTCTCATCCTTTATCTTTCTTTCTTGCCATCTGTTGCCTTAAACAATAAGGCAATGATTTTTCAAAACATCACCCCGTGGAGACAAGCTCCACTTCCATTTCTTTTATTTGTTTTTATTAATTCCTTTTCTCCATTTTGCTTGAAATTGATCCTAAAACAAATTTAACTGCACATTAACACAAGGTAAGGTAAAATGCCACAATTTTAACACAAAAACATCACAAAGACTTTAGAAATGGATGATATAAATGCATGAAATATAGGAGTGATCAAATACCCCCAAACTTACATTTTTGCTAGTCCTCGAGCAAAATAAAGAAAACAAAACACAACCTAAACCTTCCAACGTTTGCCTTAGGGATTTCCAACACACATGACATGTTAAAAATCATTATTCCCACATATTTTAGTTATCTTCACACTTGAGCACATACTTAATCACAGTCACCACTTACTAGTTCACATTTAACCAATTAAAATGATGTTTTGAATGTAGTAACATGCCTTAGAGAATTTGCTCAATTCCTTACAAGATACTCTCTATTTTCACACATTTTCTGACTACACACCCTACACTAGTTATATGTGAGAAGATTGATGTAAACATGAAAACGAACACTCACATATATGTATAACAAAGAAAGCGATTTTCTGGAGTTATTAAGCATGCTTTAGATATGATCTCATGAATGGAATGCTACTACTTAGATGCAAGAACCAGTGATACCATATGCTCATACCAATTCCAAACTCCACATATTGAAACGCATGACACTCAAGATGAAGTTAAGGGTTGTAATGAGGTTTAAGGGTAATGGCTAACAAAGAAAGGATAGGGATAACAAACGTTCTTAAAGCGATAGCAAGCAAAGCAATGAAATAGACACTTGGAAATCACTTTAGAATGCAGAATCAACTTTTAATTACAAAGGGAAAATTGATGCAACACTTAGGGTCGAATTCAATGCTTTGGACCCTTTCTTCAACAAACAACACTTTAGAGCTCTTTCTCATATATTTTTCAACTCTTTTTCACTCTTCACAACTTTCTTCTTTTCATTCTATTTTTCATGAATTTTTCTTTTCTACCCGTGCCTTATGAATGATTTTGGCATACACACACACACAAGAATCACTTCCCCCACACTTGTTTTTCTGCAAGAGTTCAACAAAAGGAATTACTTCTAAATTATGCTTTACTATGCTTCAAGAACAAGGGTATGGATGGTCCTAATCTAGGCTAGGTGAGGATAGTGTGGGTAACAAAGAACATAGGCTACACAAGGCTCAACGGGGTTAAACTTAAACACATAATGAACAAGATAGGCTTTTTGGCTCTTGGCTCACTAAACAACTTCATCTTGAATATGTGTTATGCAAATCAATAACATGCTTTGAATGAAATAGGCATGAGTTCTAGCATTTGGAACTAAATGATGAAACGCCTTCTAAGTAGCAACCAAGCAAAGAATAATGAGATCATGCAACGACTAAGAAAACAAGGATAGACAAATTATTAACTCTCCAAATAAACGTTTAGGCTCAAGTCTCACAAGGTTGTAGCGTTCATTTGAGTTCCTTCTTTCAAGCATGTTACAAAAACTGATTTTTCCTTTTATGATTACATGTGAATTCATAAATTATAACCACAACCAAGCATACACCAAAGAGTAAATCAAATTTTCATCCATGTTTTTAACTCTCTTTAACAGTCATGTAATTAAAAACCAAATCCTCATCATTGTGTTGGAAGGTACCCTAAGACACAAATAAACATACAAAAACAATTTCTCAAATTTTTATGAGATTTTCGGATTTTTATGTCAAAACACACTGAAACACTCCAAAACAGCTTAAAAACACTTAAAACAGCAAGGAACAACACTAG